TAATCAGCTCCCGAATACATTTTTATTCAATATCATGTTATCCACGACAGCTTGGAGATTTACCTTTAACAAGTAGATACTTAAGCCCAACCCTTAGATACTTAAACCCAACCCTTTCCCCATATGTAGATGGAGGTGTGTGTTTGACAAAACAATAAGCAGCGATCAGTAACAAAGTCGTCATAGTCCAGCTTTTGAAACTGAGCATGGAGATTCTTAGAGTGACGCATTGCTTATGGTTATAGGTGTGTTCGTGGTGTGTTAGTGGTATTTTATTGGCGTGTTAGTTAAGTTTGGATGGTGTGTTTTTTGCTGTGCAGGTGGTGTGTAAATGGTGTGTTAGTGGTTTGTGGATGTTGTCTTTGTGGTGTGTTAGTGGTGTGTTGGTGGTGTGTTATTTGGTGTGCTGAGTGTGTGGTGATGTTTCGTTGATGTTGTGATTGCGGTGTGTCATTGGTGTATTAATGGTGTATTAATGGTGTGTTGTTGACTTGTTAATGCTGTGTTTGTGTTAAGTTAGTTGTGAGTCATTCAAAGATCACTTACCTAAACACCAAGCATCAAGTTAGAGAATTATCGTCCCCACCCCACCCTCTCTTCCGTCTGATGGCCTAAATCCCAAGCATCAAGTTAGAGAATTATCGTCCCCACCCCACCCCCTCCCCCGTCTGATAGCATCACTCCATACTTAATGATATTTAATTGTGATATCCTCTCCAGTCACGACTAGACGAGGATTGTTTTCTCTGTAAATTTAGTGAGGCTGTAAATTAAGCCAGGCTGTAAATTAAGCGAGGTTAGTAAATTTAGCGAGGCTAGTGTGAGACCTTGACTGCGTCACCGATCAAGGCCCCCCTTTACCCATTTCACGTTATTCAATACACGCAAAACATTTAACCGTGTTTGCAGTATTTATGTGTAATTACACAAGTACACATTCATGAGGATTACGTGAGTGAAATGAAGTAGGTTCTAGTTTAAAGTGCAATAGCTATGTTAGTATAACCCCCTGCCCCCCGCCCCTTTATAGACATGGCTCTAATGTTTAAGCGAAACAACCAAAGTCTATATTCGTCCTTACCTATTGATTATTTATGCTAATAACACATTGGGGATCTCAAAGTACACACTAATAATAGTTATTATTTTTTATTTTAAAGCTTGGGGTGGGGGAGGGAGGGGCAAATGGTTGGGGTGGGGGTAGTGGGAATATCCGGATGTGACGGATGATACTCAGTTCAAACCACGTGGCGTATGGGGAACAAATTCGAATATTCTAAGAGGATAAGCGTGCAGTGTTACATATCATTAGTGTGGCTGGCTGTTCTATTTGCCTCCCACTTGTATCTGGCTGTTCAATTTTCCTCCTACTATATCAATGTTAAAAGACGAATGTAACTGCCTGTTCTTTCTCCGCCCCCCCCCCTCCCCAATAGGTTGATGGTTGTCCCTCGCTTTATTTAAATAGTGGTGAATTATTAACTATTTAAATAACATCATTTATTTTATTCTTTTTGTGCATTCAGGCAAAAAAAAAAAAATACCCACTAAATGTGCTAAGTCTTTAATTAATTTATTTAAAAAATAATTACACATCAAATGATGTCATAATTTAGGTCACATTGAATTGTCATCGGGACTTTACCTACGTCCTAGGTCTGAAAGAAAAAATCAGTTTCGTAGAAGTGGTCGAAATTTCGCTCGCGTTCTGATACATGACGGACAAAGCAATACGACTACGACTCAATTAAAAAAAGCTTGCGTACAGAGTCTTTTCAAAACAATATTATAAGTCAAAATATAATCTGAGTATAGTATGCGATTTTTAATGTCTCCAATAAAAAATTCATTTGTGTGGAAAAGTTTTAATTATAACGAATAAAATGTAATTCAAGAATGGACTTGTAAAGCATTGTATTTTATCTGATGTGGAGTTGTAGAGGATACCGATTATCAAACGTCATCAATGTTTATTATCGGATATCGTTTGAGCTGTGTGTTTCTAGTTGTTGTTTTTTTTTAAATTAAAAAAATTGTTACAAATCTGTTTTCGTGATTCAACTAAAATCACATCAAATTAGCACCAACCAACTCCCCTGGGACCAATCTTGGTTAAAGCACCCCTACCCCAACTCCCCTTCCCCCCCCCCCCCACCCTCAACGTTTTGGGATTGTATTAAATCAGCCATAAGATACCGAGACAGCAGCAATACGAACTGGTGAACGGAGGGCGAGGGGGACGTTACACAGACCAGCATCAAACACAAACGGCATTTTAAACTGCAGGAAACTGGGTGATAACAGGTGGAATTAAGCCAGAAGTGAGACACGTAACTCGTACAAGGGGAGGCGACTTTTAACTCGGTTTTTTTAGAGGTTTTATTTGTAAATGGTGGTGTTATTAAACATTGAGCAACCGCTAAGTTGTCAAAGAAATGTATTAGTAGAATATGTGCTAGGGTATGGTCATGTTTGCAATATGGGCTTAGTGTTGGTAGGGATATGGGCCATGTGGAGGTAGAGATTAGGGCCATGTGAGGGTAGAGATTAGGGCCATGTGAGGGTAGAGATTAGGGCCATGTGAGGGTAGAGATTAGAGTCATGTGAGGGTAGAGATTAGGGCCATGTGAGGGTAGAGATTAGGGCCATGTGAGGGTAGAGATTAGGGCCATGTGAGGGTAGAGATTAGGGTCATGTGAGGGTAGAGATTAGGGCCATGTGAGGGTAGAGATTAGGGCCATGTGAGGGTAGAGATTAGGGCCATGTGAGGGTAGAGATTAGGGCCATGTGAGGGTAGAGATTAGGGCCATGTGAGGGTAGAGATTAGGGCCATGTGAGGGTAGAGATATGGGCCATGTGAGGGTAGAGGGTAGAGATTAGGGCCATGTGAGGGTAGAGATTAGGGCCATGTGAGGGTAGAGATTAGGGCCATGTGAGTGTAGAGATTAGGGCCATGTGAGGGTAGAGATTAGGGCCATGTGAGGGTGGAGATTAGGGCCATGTGAGGGTAGAGATTAGGGCCATGTGAGGGTAGAGATTAGGGTCATGTGAGGGTAGAGATTAGGGCCATGTGAGGGTAGAGATTAGGGCCATGTGAGGGTAGAGATTAGGGCCATGTGAGGGTAGAGATTAGGGCCATGTGAGGGTAGAGATTAGGGTCATGTGAGGGTAGAGATTAGGGCCATGTGAGGGTAGAGATTAGGGCCATGTGAGGGTAGAGATATGGGCCATGTGAGGGTGGAGATTAGGGCCATGTGAGGGTAGAGATTAGGGCCATGTGAGGGTAGAGATTAGGGCCATGTGAGGGTAGAGATATGGGCCATGTGAGGGTGGAGATTAGGGCCATATGAGGGTAGAGATTATGGCCATGTGAGGGTAGAGATTAGGGCCATGTGAGGGTAGAGACACGTGCTGGCTGTAAACACCAACAACTCAGGTTAGCAGTTAAGTAAACATCCAAGATGGCCGATCGGCGCGTGCCACAACTCCGCCAGTAACGGATACGCTCTTATCACTCAATTATTCCAGTTGCTCTTTTAAAATAAACCATTTCAAGCATGTGGGGGTGTGGGTGGTGGTGTGGGTGGCGGGGGTGTGTCGCGTTTGTTTGTTGTTGCGTGATACCCGGCACCCCCATTGGGGCGCGACGTGTGGCACCCCTGTCTGTTATATCAGGCGGTGCCCTCCATGAGATAACCTGAAGGTATTGCATAACCAACTCACCAAGTCTAGAAAATTCTTGGTCTTACTCGCTCCCTGTAGCCCCACATTCTCAAGAGCGCTACTATTTTGTTCATTAATAGCCTTCCTAATTAGGTTAAGTATTAAAACAATTATTATTTTAAGAAAGTATTTTTTTTTCTAGTATATACGAAGTATAGAGAAAGTCTTGTAATCGTGCAAAAGAAAAAAAGTTTTTTTGCAGATCTCGACGTTTTACACCTCCCTGAGTCGGAAAAACATAGTTTTGCAATCTTGTCCATATGTCTCTGTGTGTGTGTGTGTGTGTGTGTGTCTGTGTGTGTGTAAACACGATAACTTGAGTACCGTTACAGCTAGGTTGATGAAATTTCATATATAAGTATAATATCAAAATCGTAGATCCGTATCAATTTTTGAGCGATTTCCAATAACCGAAAGTGGTACTTTTTCTACTTTGAATTTTTCAAAAGCCTATAACTTGAGTATTATTTCAGATAGATAAATGAAATTTTACTATTATGCACATTTTATTTGGCGTTTACTTGGTGTGCAATTCTTTTTTCTACGAGATTTTATTCTATTTTAGAAAGTTTAAGTATTTAAAATGGATTAAAAATCATGTCTACATCCCGAGTTCCCATCCTATGTTGTTTTATATGAGACTATTCGAGAAAGTTTAGGGGAGATCACTCCCGGTTTATTTCTTAATATTTTGCTACAAAACTAAAAATATAAGAAAACGCAATTAACTCTCTGTCACGTTGGGAGCTTTACTTCAAAAATGTGAATAGTGTAATTTACCTTGATTTAAACAGGTGTCTCAATTGAATATAACATAAATAAAGAAGTACTTTATATATATATATATATATATATATATATATATATATATATATATATATATATATATATATATATAATGTGCTCGACTGTTTGATTGAAACAGTATTGCACCAAGTTTTCATTAGTTACGTCACACAACTGAACTAATCAATGCAGTTATTTCTACCCAACTCTTACATCACAGCTGTGTTGTCACTGCGCATCTCACCTGCGATCCCCCCTCTCCCTACCCACCTGACCACGGCGGAGTCGGGTACGAAACTTACCGAAGCGCGCACGCCCCTTACGAGTGAGTACTACCTAGCGCTCACCCCCCGCCGCCGCTGATGCGCGGTCCGACAAGGGGCGAGCACCGTGCCAAAAGGGAAGCAACTGGATGTACAAATCCTCCACCTTCGGATCACCTGTTAGTGCCAGGTTTTCTCCCCCCTTCACGCAGGGCTGAGTTGGTCTGGTCCCAGTACTGTAGTTTTCTGCAGGTCGCACGGAGAGGGCCAGACTTACGGACTATCTCCGCTCAGTTTTTTTCCCCCCTCGTGAGGCGGGTTTAGCGTTGCCGCTTCGTTTTACAACGCTTACCTACGTCAGTTCGTAGTTAGCCGCTCGCACGCGATAATTCCGTGTAAATTATTTTTGTGAGTTATTATTTTATAAAATTCAGCTTGAAGTGTTTTTTTTTTGGATACGAATGACTTTTTGAATCGCTTTTTTTTTCTTTGAAACGGATTTACTTGAAAAAAGTGGATTTACTTAACAAAACATTAGATTTATTGCAATAGAAAATTGGATATATTGAACATAAATATTGGATATACTTTACATAATTAAAAAAAATTTCTCAAGATTTTAAAAAGTTATCTTTTTACAGGTAAGAGGAAATTGTCTGTTTTTGTTCAATCTACCGAAAGGTGTTATCAATTATTTTATATTCCATTTTTCTTTAAACACATAATTAAAATATAGGCCTACTCATTAATGGATTTACTTTTTAAAAAATTCTTTACATGTTTTTTTTTTTGGCGTAAACTTTAGACAGGAAATCTAATTAAACACAAATGATGTGCGTTTATTCATGAGTGATTTAAAAAAAAAAAAATTTTAAATTAAAAAAAATGCTAGATGGCCGCACTATAGAAAATCTTCAGACAATTTTAATTTTAGTTGAAGTTAGGTTGCGCGTCAAAATTTACTAGCATACGACACGTCGCCTTTTGGATTTTCTGTCTCGCCAAAATATGGTCGCTTCTAAGTGCCAAGCAAGGTTACAAAAAAAAATTCAGTCATTATGTTGGACTATGGCCCAGGTTTTTAGAACATTTCTTTGTATTTATGGGGACACTCTATTTTCTCAAATTTTTAACAATTGAAAGTTCGAAAATATTTTCCTGCCGATTTATATCTTTTCATAAAGCTATGAAAATGTTATTTTGTGCAGAACGGGTCGCCAGCAAAAAATTGTTTTTGTAAATTTTATTGACCTGATCTGGCGATAACTACTTGATAGTTGTCTACATAATAATTTGTCTACTTGACAATATGTCTACTTGACAATTCGTGTACTTGAAAATTTGTCTACTTGATAGTTGTCCACTTGACAACTTGTCTACTTGACAACTTGTCTACTTGACAATTTGTCTACTTGACAATTTGTCTACTTGATAGTTGTCTACTTGACAACTTGTCTACTTGACAATTTGTCTACTTGACAATTTGTCTACTTGACAATTTGTCTACTTGACAATTTGTCTACTTGACAACTTGTCTACTTGACAATTTGTCAACGACAATTTGTTTACTTTGAGAAATTATGCTCATTCGACAATTGATCAGGCAACTATCAAACAGAATTTAAAAACTCGGTTCTGTCTGTAATTGATGTACAGCAATAAAACTTGGCATTATCAAACAGTGACCAACCCAGGATAGAACTAGCAACCCGGGATACAACAACCAACCCATGAATTGAGATACAGAGCCAACCCGGGACTGAAACATAGCAAGCAACCCCTGGTTGTGGTGTACTCAATGATTCACTGCTCTTTTATTAAAGGAAAGTTGGAAACTCTTTCTCTTGAATAATTGATAACGGCGTTTATTTCTGTCTTGTTTGAATTTCTACCCAGGGAAAAAAATGGAATTATAATACATGAATAAATTATCGGTCATGTGATGTCACACAGTGCAAATAGAAAAACACAGATATGCTCTAAACAGGTTTTTTTTTTTTCACTATATTTTCTCTCGCATTTTTCGCATTTTAAAAGTTTGAGCACACAACCCACTTCAAAAGCTTCAAACCGTGCCGATAATCTAATCCTAATTAGTTGATGTTTCTAAATACATTCTGGACGGTTGAAAAATTTTATGTGCCCGTAAATATCAGTAACAGGCTACTGAAGTATGGGTTTTATCGTTTTTTGTGTGCCAATAGGTTCTATCGCTCATAGAATCCAGTGGAATGTAAACAAACGCACGTTCAATTACCAAAATTTGCACGTTCATAAGTGGTAATCATTAAAAAAACCGTTCACATATTGAGAGTTGCACATGAAGAAACTGACGGACGCACTTACGGAAACTTACGGTCGCACATTCAGATACCAATCAACGCACTTTTCACTCTTTTTGTCATGCCCTCAACTCCTTGACACTTTTTCTCTAGGTCTTCAGGTCAATACATCTGCTGTGTCCCCCCCCCCCACCACACACACACACACTCTCACTGTCGCGATACTCCCGATTGACTGTTGCAAACATGCATACCTAGATAATTGGCGCTGATCTCCCATGTACAAACAGGCCAGCGTTTATGGGACATCTACTACAGGTTACTGAAACAGGTGAACTCTACATCACCTGAACCATGGACCGTCAGGTTCGCAAGTGTACTTTACTTTTTACTTACCATTTAATGAGTTAAACGAATCAATTTTAGACAAAGACCGTTTTTAGTAAAAACATGTTAAAACAAGACACGACCAAGACAAGACACGACCAAGACATGACACGACCAAGACAAGACAAGACCAAGACAAGACAAGACCACAAGACAAGACCTAGACAAGACACGACCAAGACAAGACAAGACCAAGACAAGACACGACCAAGACAACAAGACACGACCAAGACAAGACACGACCAAGACAAGACAAGACACGACCAAGACAAGACACGACCTAGACAAGACACGACCAAGGCAAGACACGACCACGACAAGACACGACCAAGACAAGACACGACCAAGACAAGATACGACCAAGACAAGACCAAGACAAGATACGACCAAGACAAGACCAAGACAAGACACGACCAAGACAAGACACGACCTAGACAAGACACGACCAAGGCAAGACACGACCACGACAAGACACGACCAAGACAAGACACGACCAAGACAACAAGACACGACCAAGACAAGACACGACCAAGACAAGATACGACCAAGACAAGACCAAGACAAGACACGACCAAGACAAGATACGACCAAGAGAAGACCAAGACAAGACACGACCAAGACAAGACACGACCAAGACAAGACACGACCTAGACAAGACACGACCAAGGCAAGACACGACCACGACAAGACACGACCAAGACAAGACAAGACACGACCAAGACAAGACCAAGACAAGACACGACCAAGACAAGACACGACCAAGACAAGATACGACCAAGACAAGACCAAGACAAGACACGACCAAGACAAGACACGACCAAGACAAGACACGACCAAGACAAGACACGACCAAGACGACAAGACACGACCAAGACAAGACACAAGACGTGTAGACACCACGTCTCCACCAGTTAAAGAACAAAGCACGTACTCTGCCTATGCCCACTTGAACTAACTTGAAACGAACGCTTCAAACCCTCAGTACAGCGTATTGTCTTTTATTTAAATCTTAAAGTTTCGTTTGTCATCGTGACATGGGTCGCTATGACCAGAACGATTTAACTCCCACAAGTTCAATACTAGAACAACAACGATTTAACTCCCACAAGTTCAATACTAGAACAGCAACAATAAAAGACAAATCGTTTTACATAACCAGGACCATGTGTATATCACGGCTATTTATTTAAAAAAAAATCTTATCTAGATAACCATTCTAAATAACGACCGTTTAGTCAACGAGATAACCATTGTTAAACTACGACCGATTAGTTAACCAGATCACCATTCTAAACTACGACCGATTAGTTAACGAGATCACCATTCTAAACTACAACCCCATAATTAACGAAATCACCATTCTAAACTACGACCCCATAATTAACGAGATCACCATTCTAAACTACGAACCCATAGTTAACGAGATCACGATGTTCCATCTATGTTCGACCATGCACCATACCCTGCACCATACCGTTCCACTCTAAGACTTGTGCCAACATACTTAACTCCAATGTTTACATACTTAGCCTGTACTTTTACTTGTTACTTGTTTTGTTTTAATGTTTGATTACATCATGAACACAACATAAACACAAGGCAATTGAGACACACCGTAAACACAAGACAGTTGAGACACAAAATAAACACAAGACAGCTGAGACGCAACATAAACACAAGGCAATTGAGACACAACATAAACACAAGTCTATGTAAACACAATGAAAACACACGTTTTTTGTAAACATAGAATAAACACTATAAAAATACAAAGTAAACAAGCCCAATGAAATACCAAATAAACACAAGTCTTTCGAAACAAGAAACACACAGGTGTATTGAGACATATGGGCGCACACACACTTGACTACCGCTAACGACGGCTGTAATTCGTCGTTATTACATGTAACTATAACATCTGTAATGATGGTTGTAATTTGTTGTTACTCTTAATTATAACAACTTGATGTGTCTTTGACATGTAATTATAACTGCAGCAATAATGGCTGTAATGTTATCCGTAACTATAACGGCTGTAACGACGGTTGTCATTCGGCTGTTGTTACCTATAACTATAACAATCTGAAGTGGATCTAATCCAACAGCCCAGGCTCAGGTATGGCTGTACTAGCTCCACGGAATAAGATCAGATTCTTGTCATTACAGAAAACTTTGAGCATCCATCTCCAAAAGGGGGGGGGGGGGGGGTCTACATCACTGTGGGATTGGTGGGAAATCAGATGAGTTTGGTGGTGGGTGGTGATGGGTGGTGATGGTGGGCAGGGAGCGTTAGTTACAGTGTTGTATATCATCAGATATAGCGCTAATTATTTTGTCTTTTTTCCAAATTGGAGAAAAACAGCAACTTCTGTATGTTCTGTATCTGAGACTTTACTCATTCCTTACTCCTTCCTTCAATTCATTCTTTCATTCTCCATTCACCTCTTCCCTCCCCATCCCTCCCTTGATTCTTCATCCCTCCCTTCAATCTTCATCCCCATTCCCTGCTCCCTCTTTGCCTCCCCCTCTCACCCCTCCCTACCATCCACCCTCCTCTACACATCTTTTGATACACGTCAATACATCCACGTTCGTAACTTTACCAAAACTGTATCAAATCAAATACACAACGAATCCAATAATCTCCACTAACCTTTTAAACGTATTTACTTTTGCATTTAACTATCCATGCAAGTAATTTTCCCTCTAAAAATAGACGTAGCGAGTCTGCCATTGAGTTGCTAAGGTAGGGAATAACTCTATGATTATGTTGGTACCGATTGGTAGTTGGTGCGCATTGCATAATGAACGCATATCGCTCTGCGCTCAGAAGATGTCACATTCCTTCCCTCCCCCTCCCCCATTCCCGTACAAGCTTTGTTTTGTGTGTGTCGTCATATGTGTCGTAATCTCTCACCTGGTCTTACGTCACTAAGGCAGGTATTTCTGGCATCGTGGGGGGGGGGGGGGGAGTGGGGGGGGGGGGGGAGTGGGGGGGGGGGTAGACAGGCGTCGAGGTTAACTATATTCATATTTTAAAATATTAATCGTGATAAATGGTTGACGTGGTGCGGTGTGAAAGATACGATTCTAGAGCAGCGATACCGGGGTGAAATATACGATTCTAGCATTGCGATACCCTAGTGAAAGGTACGATCCTAGAGCAGCGATACCGGGTAAAGTATACAATTCTAGCATTGCGATACCCTAGTGATAGATACGATCCTAGAGCAGCGATACCGGGGTGAAATATACGATTCTAGCATTGCGGTACCCAAGTGAAAGATACGATCCTAGAGCAGCGATACCGGGGTGAAATATATGATTCTAGCATTGCGATACCCAAGTGAAAGATACGATCCTAGAGCGGCGATACCGGGGTGAAATATACGATTCTAGCATTGCGATACCCAAGTGAAAGATACGATCCTAGAGCAGCGATACCGGGGTGAAATATATGATTCTAGCATTGCGATACCCAAGTGAAAGATACGATCCTAGAGCAGCGATACCGTGGTGAAATATACGATTCTAGCATTGCGATACCCAAGTGAAAGATACGATCCTAGAGCAGCGATACCCCAGCGTCTAATGCGATCTTAGCGCCGCGATACCCCGACTGAAATAGTGTGGGTCTAGCCTTCAGTGTGGGCCTATTTATGACGTTAAGCTATAATTAGCCTTACATCGTATGGGATAATCTCATTAATCTCTTCGGTGGGGATGTGCATTGCAACAATGTCGTACCATCCCAAATGCTGAGACTGCAGGTATTCCTTGACGAGTTCAAAATAATCAAGTTTCGTGGTTTCTTTACACCAGTCTATAATGGCACTACACCAGTTTGTAATGCTACTACAACTACTTATAATACTACTACAACTACTTATAATGCTACTACAACTACTTATAATGCTACTACAACTACTTATAATGCTACTACAACTACTTATAATGCTACTACAACTACTTATAATGCTACTACAACTACTTATAATGCTACAACACCTGCATACAATACCACTACACCTGTCTTTACCAGTACCACACTAGTCGAGCCACCATCCGACAAAAAACACCCCCCCCACCCCCACCCCCAAACAAAAACCCACCAGCTGTAATGCAGGTAGCGAAGAAATGTCATCACCATCCCATAATTCCCATCCCAGTTTGATGGGCAACAATACGAAGTTCATTGTTTCAAGCGCTCTACGCTTCAGGCCGACTAATCTTCAGCATGTGTTTACTTTCTTCTCCTAGCAACTAGAAGGGGAGATTATCCCTCTTTCATGTACTTGTGAGGTTTTTTTTGTACTAGTGTTTTCCTTGTGTTTTTTTTTTAATTTGTTGTGTACACATGTTATTCTGTCGTACACATACACATATGATAGATACACACATGCTAAAGCATTTTGGCAATCATATACTTGCTGGCGCGTACGATGGCGCATACACACGCACATACATACATGTGGGTAATTTTGTTATTGTTGGCAAACTTTCGTTAGCTTGCAATCTCACACACACACACCCCAGGACTAACACACACTAGTTACCACGCGATCTCTCATACACAACCTAGCACATACACACACACACTCGTTATTAGGCAATCTCGTATACACACCACAGCACATACACACACACACTCGTTACTACGCGATCTCTCATACACACCACAGCACATACACACATGCGATTTCTCATACACACCCAGCACACACATATATCGATGTCCTAACACCCCCTCTGTCTACATAGACATATAAGTGCTATCACATACTTACACAAACGGGCGCTCACACACTCTCTACACATTCTCTACACACTTACACACACACCAGAACACACGACACATCAAGAACACGACAAAACATTCAAGCACACCACTATATAAAATATTTTAAACAAAACCTTGTATAAAAACTTTGATGATATATTTTAAACCCCTCGGCTAGATCTGTATAGTACGTTTGTTTAGTAACGGTACAGGAATGTATAAGTTCTGGTTCATACCTGAACACAACAGATAGATATTTAATGCGCTGATAAAATGTACTTACATGTACTGCTAAAACACTTCGAAAACGGATTTTCCCCGAATATTTTTTTTTTCGGATTTTTCCATTAACATTTAACATTTTAGATTTTTTCTCTCTAATATGTTGGTCCCATGGTTTCAAAGGGTGTTGAACGGTGTGTATTTGGTGTGTGTGTGTGGAGTGTGGGGGTGGGGGGGGGGGGCTTGTTTAATTTATGGTGAGCACAAGGCACATGGTGTTAAACGGTGGATCGTTAGCTCCAGGGGTGCACGCGTCGCCTCATTAGATATGATTTGACAGCTACGCACGTGAAATATATAATCTAGCACGTGAAGTTACCCAAAAAAAAAACCCAGTGTAAAGCTAAAACTCACACGTTTAGCGATGTATTCACAAAACTTAACTCACGCGAACGCACACAAACACGGGCGGTAACTTGATAATATTTACAACCGACCCTCCCCCACCTTCACCAGTATATACCCATCTATTTCTCCCAAATGTAATATTTTAACCTTAACTCATCGATACTAAAATGATGTATGCCTACACGATGATTGTGTTATTTTGCAGTAATTGGTACGGGTTTATATTGCCGGCATTGTTGTT